CTGCGTTTCGTCTGGTGGGTGCAGGTGGCCGGAGGCCCAATTCCCCCCCCCTACCTATCAACATGGTAGCAGAATTACACAATAGACTACCCCAGGAGGGTACCAGTACCCCTGGAGAATCCCTCGCTGAGCATCCACGACCATGTTATTCCAATCCTGAGCGTGGGTGCTCAGGCTGCCCCGCGTATTCTGGGAAGGGGCAAAATTCCGCTCAAAAACATAACTGCTCGGGGCAAACTGAGCAACAATACCAAGGCAACCCCTGTCACGCTATCCGTGAATTTCTGCAACATCAGGGGACTTCACTCTAACTTAAATGCCGTCCACTACCATCTTGACGCAGACGCAGGTTTCCTCTCCGGCTGATATTTCGTATCTCTCCTACCCGGGGTACAAATTGGAGCACTCCTTTGTGCCTCGGGCTGGAGTTTGCGTGTATGTCAGAGGGGACATCTGTTCTCGACGCCTCGGCAGTCTTGAAGGTTCGGACCTGTCCATCCTTTGGTTACGCGTAGACAGCGACGACCATCCGCGCGTTTACGGGTGCCTCTATAGGTCCCATAGCGGTAATGCCGAAACAGACCGACTCATCGACCACGTCCAAATAGCTACAGATTCCTTGCTACAACAGGTCCCATCCGCAGAGATCGTGATCCTTGGCGATTTTAACGCCCACCACGCCGAATGGCTCGGTTAACGTTTTACCGATCATGCGGGGAGATTTGTTTATGACTTTGCCTTGGCATATGGTCTAACACAACTGGTTACTTCGCCTACGCGGATTCCAGATGTGGAGGATCATACACCTTCCCTGTTGGACCTTCTGCTGACCTCTCATCCGGACGGATATCAGGTTTCCGTCGATGCCCCTCTCGGCTATTCGGACCATTGTCTGATCCGGAGTGTGGTGCCACTCACGCTCCCCTCGCGGTTGCGTTCTGCAGGTTGCCGCTGTGTTTGGCATTACAGGTCGGCGGATTGGGACGGAATGCGGTCTTTCTTTGCATCCTACCCATGGGGGCGGGTTTGCTTCTCGCCGGATGATCCCAGCGCTGTTGCTGACTCTGTCACTGATGTGGTGGTACAGGGAATGGAACTATTTATTCCATCATCTGTGGTACCCATCGGAGGCAGATCTCAGCCTTGGTTAGGTCGCTCCTGTAAGACTGCATTACGCAGTAAGCAGGAGTGTTATCAAGCCTGGGCTGCGGCTTTGGCGACTCGGGATGTAAACACCAGCACACTTAAAAGAAGTATAACTTCGCCTCCAGGTCCTTCAAAAGAGTTATTGCCAAGGCAAAGTCAGAGCACATAGGCAGAATTGGCGAGAAACTAGTTCGCCTTCCTTCGGGAACCCGTGCATTTTGGTCTCTCGCCAAGGCTGTCCAAGGGAATTCCTGTAAGCTGTCACTACCATCTCTGCACAGGGAGGACAACTCACTGGCCCACGCCGCAAAAGACAATGCCGACCTTTTAGGCTCCCTTTTACCGTCCAATTCGTCTCTTGTTGACGGGGGGCAAACACCGCCGACCATCCCGCGGTGTGAGTGCTTCATACCGGATGTGCGATTCTCACTGCGCTAGGTTCGTAAACTACTCTTCTCCCTGGACATCCTGAAGTCGAGTGGGCCTGACGGAACCCCCCAATTGTGCTGAGGACGTGTGCTCCGGAGTTGGCACCGGTCCTAACGCGCCTTTTCCGGTACTGCTACTCCCAAGGCGTTGTCCCGAATTCATGGATGATATCTTTTGTCCACCCGATCCCTAAAAAAGGCGACCGCTCAGACCCGTCCAACTATAGGCCTATCGCGATTACCTCCTTGTTCTCCAAAATAATGGAATCCATTATTAACTGCCAGCTCATCCGGTACCTTGAGGATCACCAGCTGATTAGTGACCGCCAATACGGATTTCGTTGAAGTCGATCAGCTGGTGATCTTCTGGTCTACCTGACTCATAGATGGGCGGAGGCAGTAGAGTCCAAGGGGGAGGCGTTGGCCGTTAGTTTGGACATTGCGAAGGCCTTCGATCGCGTTTGGCACAAAGCGCTTCTTTCGAAGCTCCCTTTCTATGGGCTTCCCGAGAAATTGTGCCGTTGGATCACCATGCAGATCGGAGCATCAATGTCGTTGTAGACGGTGCATGCTTAGACTACAAGCCTATTAACGCTGGTGTTCCACAAGGCTGAGTGCTATCACCAACGCTGTTTCTTCTGCATATCAATGATATGTTGCTAACTGGTAACATTCAACGACAGCACTGGTGATGCTCTATACACCGGCCGTGCCAATATTTCTCGGGAAAACGTCGCCGAGTACCGGAACAAACTTGTGTCTGAAGTCGAGTCTTTGCTGAACAAAGTCTCGGATTGGGGGCGACTAAATCTAGTGCAATTTAATCCTCAGAAGACACAAGTTTGCGCGTTTACCGCTAAAAAGAACCCCTTTGTCGTATCTCCTCAGTTTCAAGGCACTCCCCTTCTTGCCTCAGCCAGTATCGGTATCCTCGGAGTCGACATATCGAGTGACGTGCAGTTTCGTGGTCACTTGGAAGAGAAGGCCAAATTGGCCTCTAAAAAGCTTGGCGTGCTCAGCAGAGCGGGACAGTATTTCATGCCGGCACACCGCCTGCAACTTTACAAGGCGCAGGTTCGGCCTCACATGGAATACTGTTCCCATCTCTGGGCAGGGGCACCCCAGTGCCAGCTCCTTCCACTTGACCGCATCCAGCGCAGAGCGGCTCGACCGAGCCCTTTCCGATCGGCTCGATTCATTGGCACTGCGAAGAGATGTTGCATCCCTTTGCATTTTCTTTCGCATCTACCATGTGGAGTGCTCTGAGGAATTGTTCGGATTAATCCCAGCCGCCAAATTTCACGAACGCACATCGCGGAAGAATTCCCAATACCATCCACACCATCTAGATGATTGGCGGTCCACCACTGTGCGATTTAGAAGATGTTTTCTTCCTCGCACGACTTCCTTGTGGAATCGATTACCATCAGCGATTTTTCCGGACCGATACGACTTAGGGACCTTCAAGAAAAGAGCGTACTCCTTTTTAAAAGGCCGGCAACGAATTTGAAATTCCCTCCCTGATGTTGCAGTTGTTCATGGGCGGCGGTAGTCACTTACCATCAGGTGAGCCGCATGCTCGTTTACCCCCTCTCCTATAAAAAAAAAGACCATGCGCGGCAATAGTTTTGTTATGTATGCAAATTACTATGTTTTACTTGTACTACTATACATGGTCCATATCCTAAGTTTATGAAGGCGCAACTTATGGCACTCAACCTAATTATTTTGAACCGACTTTAAATAAAGAGGAGGTTCTCAATACGTCCGAATATTTTTTTATGTATGTTAACCGATTCGTCAAAGACGCCTAAACCGATTTAGAAAATTCATTTTTGTTTTCAAGTGTATATTTCCCAGGTGGATCCACTTAAATTTTATCGAAATAGGTCCAGCGGAAAAAATCAACATTAAATTATTTATCTTTAATTTAGTTGTACAAAAATTTAAATTTTACCACTTGTTAAAAAACAAGAGTTAGTAATGAGAACACGGTCCACATGATGGTAAGTGCATGTTATGGATCACAGACACCTACATTTATCTTCTATTAAGAATTTAAATGTAGATGCGTTGTCACCCCTCGGGTCTAATGTAGAATGCCTCTTTGCCAGTAAACGGGGTCCCCGGTTCTCTAAACTGACACTGCGAAACACAGCAGTATTAAGGCTATTGTGAGAGTGTGGTCATCCCGGTTGAGCCGATTCATTCGTGCTGTGATTATAATATAGCGGTGGACCTGGCGTGCAACGACAGATTGTTTATCCCGACATCTACACAGTATATGTCCATTTGAAGCTTTTTCGTACCTTTAGGTATTTTGATTGGACTCTATTTCAACAATATTTTTTAATGCAGATATTGTCTTACTTTACAGTATTTTAAGTTTAATATGTATTGCCGTGTACTGGTAAAAATATCCACTATCTCATATCATCCCGTGGGTGTCGTAAGAGACAACAGAGGGATATTGAAACCGGTGATGGGGTAGCACCATCTTCCTAATGACATCTCAAAATAATAAAAAAAGCTGCGGTTGACAATTCGCTCACCAGGCGTGTCAGCTATGACAAAATTTCCCCTTTGGGACAATCTACGGGGGAGACCTATGTTCAGAAGTTGACTTTCATACTCGTATGCTGTAATGGAGTGTTTATACGTGGCAGAGCCATGCTGCAGCTATATTAGTAGTATAGTTGTAGCACGAATGGGTCGGCTCGACCGGGGAAGGACCACGCTCTCACAGAATACCAGCGTAAAATAGCAGTTTAACACTGTTGTGTTTCGTATGGTGAGTGCAGAGAACTGGAGACCTTTTTACTGGAAAAGAGGCATTCCATCTTAGTCCTCACGGGTGATAACGCATCTGCATTTTGATTCGCAAACGAGGATAAATGTAGATGTCTATGGGCCACAGCAACCACTTACCATCAGGTGGACTGTGTGCTCGTTTGTCACCCGATGGTATAAAAAAATGGAATGAAGACAACTCTTACATTAAAATTGTTCTAATTCAATTTAAAAAAAATGATGTCTCAGGTTTGGTACTATATTCTTTAGGGTTATAACAAGTATAGTGATCGCTTCAATCTGTGTATTTCAATGTATAATTATACATTGATAAAAAATATTTCGCTATGTTTCTGGCTATTTCTTCCCAGGATAAAGTTTTTTCCCGAACGGGTAAGAGTAAAAATTACTATCAATATAATTATTATTTGTAATCTTTATTAAGCGAAAAACAAAACTATTTTCTTACATAATATTCTTTTTATTCTATTCTATTACAATTTAATGAAAACCTTTGATTAAAAGTATTATCAAAAGCTTTGCACTGTTTTAATTTTTCCAAAGCACATTACTACATGTTCTCAAAGAGTCTACGGAACGTTGTTTAATTAGGGTACTGTACTATGCACATTAATTTTAAGACAGCTTTGATTTAAGCAAAGCGCTAAATTGCTGCAGTCCTGGCTGATTGCCTTTCTTATAAAACTCCTCGTCTTCGCATCGTTCTAGCCATTGTGATAAATTTGGGTATCTGCAAAATTTTAAACATGAAAATTTTACACTTTTCTCCATTCATGTGACGTCCAATGTGAACTCGATGCGAACACAGCGTTGCGCAGGGCGATATATCAAAAGGTATAGGTATTTTTGTGGGTAAACTTAAATGTTAAATATATTGCTAATATCATGGTATTGTATCAATACATCTTCATCCCCCACAAAAGTTAAAAAGTGTAGGGGATTGATCTTATACGTCGCTCTTGGCAAATAATCGCGCAATTTTGACGAACGCACTTTCAGACTTGACGCTACTTCCTGTCGCCGATCAGGGTACTTTACACCCGACGAACGGTTATACTGACATATATCGGAAGACATAAGATCTTCTCGGCATATCTTATAGTCACCTGTTACGACACTCTGTTTATCAGCGCCACCCCAAGGCCGAAAGTACAATTTTATAAAATTTTCTGATAGTGTAATCAAAAACTAAATCGCAAACCACTTCCAAATCGCGCAACATTTCAAACCAACTGTTTCCGTGCGCTTCAAGTTTACGTGTGTTGCACAATGCACGGTGTCGATGGAATAGAATGACGCCAACACGAAACACTTCGAGCAACGCACCACTGCCGCTACCATACAGAACATCTCATATACAGGTAAAAAAACAAATATTGAATAAGTCTTACAAATTCAAATCAATAGGCACGAGTTCGTTCAAAGAACTGATTGTAGCGACGCAGCAAATGTCAGCCAATGTGATTTCGTCACCAACCAGCCACTTGTCGGTTAAAAATTTATCAGTAAATTCATATGCAGTACGTATCTTCATAAGAGCATCTGGTCTTATAGAGCTCTCGCCCCAAAACGCGACAGGATCCTAAAAATAGTACCAATACAAACAATCTTTTCACAAACTACGTTGAATATAATCGTTATGGACATATCTTTATTTTCGTAACAATGAAGTGAAAAACGTTCACATTTCAATTGACTGTAAGTGGCTTCTGCAATCCATGGACACCTGCAACCAGTTTCGACTTTTACGAAGTTTTTTCACGCCTGAGGACTAAGGTAGTAAGAAGGAAGATATTCCCTTATTCTTTCTAATTCAAATCAGTTCACAAGAAAGGGTGAATTAGTACTTAGTGGTAGAAACGGGGAAGAAAGAGTGGCGACAACGTTACTTTCAGTCGGACATATTTCGCCACTAACTTGTTCACATTTTTTTAAAATTTTTAGCTTTATTTTAATTGTAATTAATAACCTGTAGTACAAAAGAGATATTTTAGATGGTTATTACAGTAAAATAATTTTCCGTATATTTGAAAGTTAATGATTTTTTGTATTAAAAATTTCAAAATTTTTCGAATACAAAAATCTTTTATAAAATTAATCGAAATTCTCTTTCGCCACGCTTAATTACAGGCAGTGAGATATTCCACCATAGTTCTTAGTGGTGGCACTGCACCTTAAGCCATTTTGTTTGAAGTTGCTGCAGGTGTCCATGGACTGCAGTACTCACTTACCATGCTGTAGACTGTGTTTAAAAATACTTGTAGGCTTTTGACAGGCTGTAACGATAACTGTAACTGAAAGTATCACAAGCGGTAACCTAAATAGCGTATGATTCCTTCATGAGATACCACAAATTTACTAATTAACAATATAATATATTGTTATGTTCTGGAGTTTTAGTATGCAGAGCTTACAATAATGTAATAATAGGTGAAGAGACATTCCATTTTGTTGTAAGAGATGTCCCAAGTTGGAAGATCTGTTGTAACTCGAGCGAAACAAGTTTTATACAATGAAATTGTTGACAAAGGGAACCTACAATCTTTTAGAACAATTTCTTATGTAAAAAAATAAATTATATTTAAAATTTTATACCTATTTAATTCAAAAATTAATTACATTAAACTCGTCTTATTGTAAATGTATAAACACTAAACTACTTACGACTGCAGCACGCAACGCAACAAACAGTACTCCAGTATCGAAATGAAGCCTTTGATCAATCAAGGCTCTCTTTTTATGTTCAATTGGATAAAGAGAATCATCATCAGTGTACTTTGTCAACAAATACACAGAAATCGCATGGCTGAAAAAATAAATTACGTTAGCAGAAAACTATTATTTACCTACAGAGAACTAACAGTATTGTGTACAAATATAATACCGATAAAAACCTAATTACATATTACAGATCATAATAATGCCTCAAAATGTAGACTTTTGTTACGGTGGGATTTTTTTTATTTTTTTTTATTTTGAACGAAAAAGCGTAGAATGTTACCAACAAAGGGATAGAGTCTCGTCGAGAGTGGTTGTTTGTTGGCGGAATGGAGAAGTAGGAATCAATTCATATTATTATTTATTTACGTACAACAAAAAAGGTACAAAAACATATATTCAGACAATTTGATGATTGGCAAAGTAATTTCATAGTATGTAGAAATATCATTTAGTAAAAGCATCAAAGAAATTTGATTAAAAATCTTTTAGAATATTGGATGCATTGTGCTACATAAGACATGACATTTTACACTCTATTATGCCTTAAAGTTGCCGTTAGGTTCGACTAAAGAAAATACTAATAAGATCTTGTGAAGTTCGAATGATTAATAATGAAAATTGGATATTCAGAACCCTTTATTAAATTATACAGTATTAAAAAAAACTGTAATAAAAAAATAAAACTAATAACTCAACTATCATATAGTCCTATTCTTTGTGGTATCGTGCCAAGAACGCTCATGACGCATTTTTCCTGAAGTGTTTGATGCATCATGAAACTTTGTTGAAAATTATCAGTCCACTCGATAAGCAGATACATGACTTTTTCAAGTTCAAGGTCGCTCAGCAAGCTATGGAGAGGACTATGCTCGGAGTTTCTCTGCGTGATAAACTTAGAAATTAGGATATCCGAAGTAGAACCAGAGTGACTGACATAGCCCAATGGATTAGTAAGCTGAATTGGCAATGGGCCAGCTATATCGGTTGTCGGTTCTTCGAGCTATATGTTGAAGAACAGACAACCGATGGGGAAAAAAGTTCTGGAGTGGCGGCCTCGTATCGGCGGACGAAGTGTAGTTGGTCCCCCCACTAGATGGAGTGACGACCTGGTAAGACATGCAGGAAGTCGATGGATGCAAGTGGCTCAGGACCGTGCTTTGTGGCATTCCTCGGGGGAGGCCTATGTTCAGCAGTTGACTTGTGAAGGGCTGTGGTGATGATGGTGATGATGATGATGATGATTACTTTTTCCCTGGCCTACCTAGGTACACCTGGTGCTGTACTACAGGTAAGTCGCAAAAAAATTCGTCAAAAAAAGTGTTTAATTAAAATAATAATAATGATCATGTCCACGCAAGATAAATTTAAATATTTTTAATTTTTAACACGCTGCAAAAATGGCAGATTAAATCAAACACTTTTTTTGAAATTTTTGAAAATACAACTTTGGGGTAGTTTGCCCCAATGTAAACCCCTTCAAAAGTGTCTGCTATTTATTTCTTAATTCTTTATCAACTTAGCTGACTGATAGTCATAATTATTATTTGAATCATACACTTTTTGGGCGATTTTTTTTGCGTCTTACCTGTATGCGCAGTACCAGGTGCACCCAAGTAAGCCTGTGTTGAGTGGACTTCTAGTTTTTACTAAGTTTCATGGTGCATCAAGCACATCATGAAAAATGCGCCATGAGTTCTTGAACCCATTACAACTACACACTACCTTTCCTCTCTCCCAAGAAAATAGGATATAAACGTTGAGTTTTTCTAGATATACTTTTTTAAACTCTTCCGATGAAATTAAATAATTGATAAAAAATCATATTACATTTTTAACGTGATAGAGTAATAATGCAGCTCTATTATAGTTATATCACGAATATGTAACATCAAAAGGATATTCAGATGATGGAAACTATCGGTACAATCTATAAAGATAAGCAACTGATTAGCATGATTCACAACACACCGGTAAAGGTAATATGTTTAATTTAAATCAATATCGTCGCACGATTTCTTAATACTTCTTCTTTATCTGCCTCTATAAATTCGTAATTGCTAGGTAAATAAAATTACTTTTTTCTAATTGCTTCGTTAGTCTAGTGGTCGTAAACGCGGTTGCTGATCATGAGATCATTGGTTCAAGTCCCGGGTTCAAATCAGTTATTGGGTGTTTATGTCAAGAAATTTTCAGTCCAAAGTAATGAAGTTGGTGGTATTTTCACCCCCGTACCTCAGAAAGCACGTAAAGCTGTACTTGTGCCTGATCTTTCTCTGGTCGTGTCGAACTACCGTCTCATCGGACTATGAGAATGAATAAATAAAGAGTGCACCTGTGCATACGCACATGTTTGAGCACTGTAATCCTGTACTGCGCAGATGGTTAGTCTCCGTTGAAACTGGCCACCGTGACCAAAATTCGGTCTGGAGCATATTATTAAATAAAAATAAATTAATTAATTTTTCTCGTCCATTACCTGTCCCAAACCACAAAGTCGTCATCTTTTAACATAGGTACAGTATGCTGGGGATTCATCTGCAATTAGGAACATAATAAATTTTATTAGAAAAAAAGAAAGAAACACTTCATTTTGGTACAAGCCATTGGCATACACGACAATACGTAGGTCACTCAATAAGTTTTGAAATGTTCGAAATTTAAAAATGGAACACACCCGTGTTATGTATTTCTAAAAAGCAATTTTATTTAAAAATAGAACTCCATAAGCCAATTGCTCAATATTAAAAAAAAACAAAGTTCGATTTATTTTGAAAAGATTGTAGGCATTAGTTAGAGGAGCATTTATACCATCCTTCATCAATATCTTGGAGTGAGGAAGCTTTGTTGTCGATGGATCCCTCGTTTGCTCTCCGAAAGCGAAAAACAGACTCGTGTGGATTGGTGCCATGAAATGCGTCTACGTTTTGAAAGCGGGGCATCTAGGCGTGTTTCAGAAATTATTACTGGAGACAAGACATGGATCTATCAATATGAACCGGAAAATAAAAGGCAATCATCGGTATTGGTCTACTCAGAAGGACAGTTACCGACAAAACTGCAAAGACCTCGCAACGTCGGCAAAAAATGGTTGCTAGTCTTTTTTCGCGGAGCGGACATTTGTCGGCGTCATTGCTGGAAACTTGTAGCTCAGTCAACTCTGAATGGTATACTACAGTTGCATTACCCAAAGCTTTTCAAGCTGTGCGAGAGAGAAGACCAATGACCGGGCTTCGGGGAATCATGCTGCATCAAGATAACGCCCCTTCACATACCTCCTTAGAAGAAAAGCATTTATTTAAGAATCTGGTGTCTAAGTCACCCAACCTACAGCCCTGACTTAGCTCCTTGTGATTTATTTTTGTTCCCAAGAGTCAAAGAAAAAATAAAAGGCAAATTTTTTTCAAGCGCCCAAGAAGCCCTGGACCTGTCAGATCAAGACTGGCAAAAGTGTTTTCAGAGTTGATTTAGGCGAATAAACCTTTGTATAGAGCATGATGGAGAATATTTTGAAAAGATTTAAAATAAATATTAATAGTATCCATTATACTTTTTGTATATCATAAAAGTTATTGAGTGTCCTTACGTATTAATTTATAAAATACATGGGCTGGTTTTTTCTTGCTCAAAGGTTAAGTACAGCCATTTAGCGAGGAAACGTAGTCAGTGTTCTTGGCACTATGCCTCAGGTTTTAGGACTGTATGATAATTTAAGTTTTATGTTTTAGTTTTTTTATTGTAGTAATAAATATTTTATATAAAAAAAATATAAAAAAAATAAAAATCGTTTATTTCGACCACAAGGATCATAGATGTTAGTAATAATTGTTCGGGTATTGGACGACTGTTCAATAATAATTTAGATTTTATGTTAAAACAGTTTAATAAACAAGTAAAAAATATAAGATTAAAATATGTTGAATAATGCTAAATGTTAATGTTAAATGTTATGTTGATGAGTTCGCGTCCGTCGCGTTTACGGTGAAAACGTGAACTAACTCAGTTTTTATAATTGTCCAACTACGCAATGCAATCGCTATACATTGCGTAAAATGTTAACGCCAGCAGAACTGTACGGTTGGACCGTACATGCTGCCGGGCCAAAATGTGAAGAGATGATTATAATGAAAGTTAGGTGAGATGTGATTGATGAGATGATCTTATCTAAGTAACAAGGTGATAAACAATTTGTAACTTAACCTAGTGAATGATTGTTATTTGTAAGATGAAAATGGTTACAGTATCTAACTTATTATTAAACAATTATTTTTATAATTAGATATTAAAACGTCTTAGCGGTATGGGAGAACACGCTTTGTTTTGTTTTTCAATTTCACACGACACATCACCTATATTGCCGGTCAACATCACAATTTCGCGCACTAGCACTCACTGTGAAAACACTAGACTTACGGTAAGCCTTTCTTTGATTTCGCGCACTCACTGCACTAACACTACTCGCCAACTGCAGCTCCAAGTCTGGGGAGATGGGTGCACGCCGCCGACGTCGCCGCCATCTCCACACGAACACCGCCGCCAAGACTGCTGCCACTCCGATTAACACGTAGTTGATTGCATAGTGATGGATGTCGTGCGACGATAATGTTGTTAATTGCACGTTATTCTTTCTCAGGTCTTTTATTTGACGGTCTAAGTTTTATAAGGAACTGTTCAAATCTGATAAGTTGGTGTCATTTTCGTCAAATGTTTCTAAAGGTATGCTTATTTTGATGATGTTATTCAATGGGTCAATTTTTGGAAGAATTAAGTCCTTATTCATCTCAATTTGATGAGTGTAAATTTGGTGGGAGAGCAACGTAAAATCTTGACCTTTTAGCAAACATCCCTTATCGAGAGATATCACTCCTGCTTTAGTTAGGCGTTCCCCAATTACACGATCAGAGCAAATAATTTTAACATCATATGTGTTGCAGCAGTGGAATAGGTATTGTGAAGGGTTATTCAGCGGTAGCCATTTATTTGTACAAGATGTCTTATAGATCCTGCATCTACTTGTTGTTTGATCTAATTGGCAAAAATTCTTGTCTTCTGAAAGATGGTAAATGGGCTGTCGGATAGGATACAAATAAACATCCTCCTCATGTAAACATAAATATAAGTCCTTGTTTGTGATTTTTAAATAAGTATCCTTTCGTAAACTAATAGCTGTGTATTCTGCAATTGGAAAAATGCTTATCTCTATATTAATCTCTACCTGGTGAGGAATTGTTATAATTTTGTATAATTTGTATTTGTCTCTATTCAGAAGGGGAAATATTACCTCGAATATAAGATATTTTTGCATCATTCTAGCTTTGACCTTAAGTAGTTTATAAATTTAATAAACTTCTTGTTGTATATTTTCTATTGGTAATGTTATATCTTCTGTTAAATGACCAGAGATTATGTGGAGTTCTTCTTGAAGTTGTTCGGCTGTTAATAAATGCATGTTAAATTGACCATGGTATATGTCTGTTATAGTTTCAATAAGATTCTCCTGAGTGATTTTTATATTTTGAAGCATATTGCTGGCTATTAAAGAAGACATAGTAAAATCTTGCGCCATTGACATATTTTTTATTTCCTTTTGGATGTTGTTGGTCTGTTTTTCCAAGTTTATCAAATGTCTGTTAATAATTTTATGTTGTTTGGTTACCAAATCTTCGGTACGTTTTAATAAATTATATTCAGATTCCAATACAGACGTTTGGTTCTTCCAATAATTCAATAAATGGTTTTGGTTTTGTCTAACAAGTTCAATATTCTTACTATACTGTTCCGCGAAACGTTCGTCCAATACGCCGAACAAACTTCACTGCCAGGTTCTTTAGGGACAGTGTGTGTTAATAAAATGACAAGCAGTAATACTTCATTTTCTTTACCTACACTCTATGATAGTACCATAACAAAGCAGAAAAATTTAAAAAGTAATTCATATAATGAAAAAAATAATATAATTGTGTATAGTGATGACATAGGCAAAAACTTGGGTATATCATTGAATAACTGTTTAAAAAGGCAACAGATAAGTAATTACTGCATGCCTGGAGCATCATTCAGTGATATTATGAATAAAATTTTAACTAGTAAATTTAACCCTAATAGTATATTAATAATTTTTGTTGGGAGAAGAGGCAATATGAACAAGAATCAATTATTAAAATATATTGAATATCTCAATAACATAAATGTGGTTAAAGTTATCTTGTTTACATTGCCTTATATAGAGGGGTGGCCACAGGAAAATAAACTAAGACATAATTTAAATTTAATGATGCATAACTTGACATGTAACAATAACTTAAATTTGACATTTAATTGTAAGAATAATAATGATAAATTTCATTTAATTGATATTAATAATTTAACTAAGAAGTTTTTGACAAGAGATAGGTATTACCTATCAAAGTATAGTTTAAGACTGGTAGCAGATACGCTATCTTATTATTTATATTTTAACTCAGCCAATGATTTGGCTACCTTGACACCTGCTTCTTTTGAGCAACAAAATAATTTTACATTTGATTTGGAACCAGTTCCAAGTAATTTAAATTAGATAATAAGACAATAGAGGTAATCTCTAGCAAAGATAATTTAAAAAGCTTAGAATGTAACTTACCAATACATAATTATGCAATTTTACAAAATAAAAATAATAAAAACTGTATCAACCTGGTGCATCAAAATATACAAGGTATGTTAGGCAAAGAATTAGAAATTTAATTATTTTTAAATAGTAACAGTATAAATATTTTATGTATTACAGAACATTGGTTGAAAGAATACAACTCCATATTTAATTTCAGTAATCACCAGGTGGTCAGTTCGTTCAATAGAGATACTAAATTACGTGGTGGCTCCTTAATATTAGCTAATAAGTCCTTATCATGTAAAGAACGTAAAGACATTGTGAGCCTCTCTGTTGAGCGTACTGTAGAAATGGCATGTGTTGAGCTTGAGCACCATATTGTTGTCAGTGTTTACAGACCCCCATGTTCAAGTTATGATACTTTTGAAAAAATTATGGAAGAAGTTTTAGTTAAGCTTAATAAACAGAATAAATCTCTTGTAGTGTGTGGAGACTTTAATATCAATCTCCTGGAAACTTCTTCCATCAGTATTAAATTCTGTTCTTTGTTCAAATCCTATAATCTTAATAATTTATTCTTTGAAGCTACACGTATTGCAGGGTGTAGTGCAACTTGTATTGATAATATTTTTACAGGTGTTGTACCAATCAACAAATCAATAATTCAAAAACTTAGTTCAGATCACTGTGGACAACTGGTTTCGTTACCTTATATGCACAAAAAACAGGTAAATGAGAAAATTGTGTTTGTTCCTATTAATGCAAAACGCCTGGAGAGATTTAGAAGTAATATGTTAAAAATCCTTCCATCCCTTTCTTATAAGAACAATGCAGACTATTTATATAGAGAATTATTTACCTTTATAAACAATGAATTTAATAAAACATTCACTTCTAAAACATTCTCCAGAAACAGTCGCAAGGCATTTAATGAGTGGGCGACAGTAGG